GGTCTAGTGTTAGTTCTAGTTTTACACTAGCACTATCACTAGAACTAACACAAGACCTATCACTAGAACTAACACAAGACCTACAACTAGAATCATTCGGGTTTAGCCGTCTTGAGAGACGTGCGGCTAAATCCAAATGTTTCTAGTTCTCGGTCTAGTGTTAGTTCTAGTTTTACACTAGCAGTAATACAAGATTTAGAACTAGAATCATTCGGGTTTAGCCGCACGTCTCTCAAGACGGTTTTATTCTCGGTATTAAGAACTCTTATTATTTTAGAAATTATTGTGCTTCCTTGTTGTGTCAAAAAAAAACACTCATATTGAATTGTTGAGTAGCCTTGATTATTGGCATTAATTTCCGAATGAGTATAATTATTATGACAGTAACCTTTTCCATTTCAAATGTAAGTGTTTTTTAAACACTCAATGCTTTCTCTCGAGTATTCAGACCTTGCATATCAATAAAACAACAACACTAATAAATAATTGTCAAGCAAGGTATCATAAGCTGTCCAAAAATTTTGAAAACGGAAGATCTTTGTAAGGAAAAGAAGAAAACTGTTACGCCTAAGAGGTTATTGGAAATAGACAAAACATCAAAAAAGGAATCATCGATAACACCTACAAATAAGAAAGTTAAATGGGAATGTGAACGATGTCTGAATTAATACTGAGATTTTAGATAATGTAATTGCACTAATTAATATCATATGGATGTTGGATGTTACTATGAAGGGCACTTATTTTTAACAAAACGCTACCATCTATCGGTGAATAACAGAAATTTAACATAGCGCCATCTAATGCTGTATTGTGTAAAGACCAATATCTGTCAAGATTATTACCCCTATCAATCTCATACTAAACATCAACAAAAATTGAATTGTAAAACCAGGACAACACATTAAATGATACAAATTAATTTAATAACGCCATGATAAACACTCATGGAAGATAAACACCATAATAGTCGTTGATATCTTCCATGAACTCTTTTAAACTCTACACATATCACTTCAAAGGAGATGATGCATATTGATCCAATGCCTAGATGCTGTGCTAAATTAATTTGAAACAAACCAACTTTGTGTATTCCTAAGTTGTATTCTTAGTTTGACATGCAATGCAAAAATACTTGCTGTATGCATCAGCTGATGTGACTAATGTTACTCAATTGTCCTCATGCGCAATCTTAACGAACAAAATCCTTTCAGACTATGATTTAAACTTCTACAAGATGTGATGTGACTTCTCCGTTTTCTTTTTTTTTTCTCCTTGTCATAATCTCCAGGATATAGTTGTAAACTTAGTAACTCGCTTTTAATTATTCTGTCTATTGTGTTCCCTAAATTAATTGAGCCCATATTCCCGAGTCGCATATTCCTTCTTGCACACGTTTGGATATTCTTTATAGGATTCGTTGTAGAACCTCTCTCTCAAAAGCATTGATGATTTTTCCGGATGTTTGCAATAAGGTCCACATTTCACTGCCGTAGTCTTGATTTTTAGTCTTGATTGGTCTGATTTTAGTCTTGGAGATTTCTAGCTTCATCTCTCTATGGATATCTTTACACTTGATGATTCGAAGTATCTAGTAGTGTCATGTCAATCAAACCACGTTTGGAGATAAACTCTATGTTTTATTCTCTATCATAATACATCACGTAATTTCGTTGATTTCATTGTCGTCCCCATACAAGTTGGTTTCCAAATATATGGAATAGAGAATCCAGATATCCGCCACGACAACTGCACCATGACTTTGGTTTTGTCGTCGCTCATGCGTAACCCCACCTCTGGAGCTGCTGTTTTGAGTTTAGCTAAGATTTTCTTGGTGACCTGGTATGATCTTGCCATTATATACTCTGCGTAGATCACCATCTGCAACGACTTAAGGAGTAGTGTCCCTTTTGATATCAACTGGGAATTTTCTTATGACGTACTTCAAGGTCTGCCTAAAAGTGTAGGTGGAAGACCACTTATCTCTACTTCAGGTCGGAGATCGTTTGGAAGTTTGGTGTCAACTCCTGTTTTTTTGGTTCTTGAAGGTATCTTTCACTTCCTCTACACTTGGTAGATACTATAATATTGCCTCTATCTCGTTGTTATCTTTTCTACATTGCCGATTATACATACCGTCGTGTTCTCTCGTGATGAAATCCTCCTTTCCACCTTTGAACTAGGGCGCAACTAAAGTTGCTTCTCTTTAAGTTGTCCTTTTGCACATTTTGTACAATGTATGCAGTCAAGCATTGATATCTCTATAAATTATTACTCCTACTCCCTACATAACCCAACTCTCCCCAATTTATCAAAATTCTAGCAACCCAACTCTCCTCAATACATCTCAAACCAACTCATCTTAAGTCTAGCAACCCAACTCTCTACAACTCATAACCTTACTTCCTACAGAACCCAACTCATCAAATCTCTAGCAATCCAACTTTCCTCAACATATCACAACCCAACTCATATTAAGTCTAGAAATCCAACTCTCTACAACTCATCATAACTCTACCAACCCAACTCTCCTCAAAACATCACAACCCAACTCTTCCAAACTCCTGCCAACTTATCTTAAGTCTAGCAAACCAACTCATCAAACCTCTACCAACCCAACTCTCCTCAACACATCACAACCCAACTCATCTTAAGTCTAGCAACCCAACTCTCCACAACTCATAACCTTACTTCCTACAGAACCCAACTCATCAAATCTCTAGCAATCCAACTTTCCTCAACATATCACAACCCAACTCATATTAAGTCTAGAAATCCAACTCTCTACAACTCATCATAACTCTACCAACCCAACTCTCCTCAAAACATCACAACCCAACTCTTCCAAACTCCTGCCAACTTATCTTAAGTCTAGCAAACCAACTCATCAAACCTTTAGCAACCCAACTCTCCTCAACACATCACAACCCAACTCATCTTAAGTCTAGCAACCCAACTCTAAACAACTCATAACCTTACTTCCTACAGAACTCAACTCATCAAATCTCTAGCAATCCAACTTTCCTCAACATATCACAACCCAACTCATCTTAAGTCTAGAAACCCAACTCTCTACAACTCATCATAACTCTACCAACCCAACTCTCCTCAAAACATCACAACCCAACTCTTCCAAACTCCTCCCAACTTATCTTAAGTCTAGCAAACCAACTCATCAAACCTCTACCAACCCAACTCTCCTCAACACATCACAACCCAACTCATCTTAAGTCTAGCAACCCAACTTATCCAAATTTATCATAACTCTAACAACCCAACTCTCTTCAACACATCACAACCCAACTCTTCCAAACTCCTCCCAACTTATCTTAAGTCTAGCAAACCAACTCATCAAACCTCTAGCAACCCAACTCTTCTCAACACATCACAACCCAACTCATCTTAAGTCTAGCAACCCAACTCTAAACAACTCATAACCTTACTTCCTACAGAACTCAACTCATCAAATCTCTAGCAATCCAACTTTCCTCAACATATCACAACCCAACTCATCTTAAGTCTAGAAACCCAACTCTCTACAACTTATCATAACTCTACCAACCCAACTCTCCTCACAACATCACAACCTAACTCTTCCAAACTCCTCCCAACTTATCTTAAGTCTAGCAAACCAACTCATCAAACCTCTAGCAACCCAACTCTCCTCAACACATCACAACCCAACTCATCTTAAGTCTAGCAACCCAACTCATCCAAATTTATCATAACTCTAACAACCCAACTCTCTTCAACACATCACACCCAACTCTTTCCAACCGATCTTAAGCCTATCAATCCAACTCTCCGCAAGTCATCATAACGTTTAGCACCTTACTTGACGCAACCTTTTGAGGAACTACTTTGCCAATCACTGTCATAATGCAATATATAACGAGATCCATTGTGATAAAGCTGCGAGGGAAAATGTGGCTAAAATATTTCTGAACGGATGATTAAAATGAAACAGTTAATGAGCAATGCTGATGTTCTGGCGATTATTACCATACAAACCTGAGCTATTTAAAACTTTCCAACCCACAAATCAAAAAATTCAAGGTTAATAATTGTATAATATTAATTTAATTTTAAATTTTCCAGAAATGCTACAACAAGGCGACCTTTCCTCCTCAATGGAATCGTTAGCATACGATTCTTCAGTGACATCACCAGCATCGAGTACCGGTCAACAATCACAACGAACGAAACGGATGCGAACATCATTCAAACACCATCAATTAAGAACGATGAAAACGTATTTTGCAATCAACCAAAATCCAGATGCAAAAGACCTAAAGCAATTGGCCCAAAAAACTGGATTGTCAAAGAGGGTTCTGCAAGTTTGGTTTCAAAACGCGCGCGCTAAATGGAGGAGGAATCTGATGCGTCAAGAAGGTGGTGGAGGTGGACAGGTGACCCCCAATGGTCCAACTAGTGGTGGACCTTCACCCTCCACCCCCGGAATGATCGATTCAACAATTCAACAACATCAATCGTCTTTGGAGGATATTCATCGGCATATTCATCAAAATTCCCAAACGTTAAATTTTGGCGATATCTATTAAATAAAAATTATAGTAAAACAATATATTTGATGAAAAATATTGGATGAAAAATATTGAAAGAGAAAGATTCAAAAAACAAGAAAAAAAAGAGGAGGGATTTCCCAAGAAGATAATGTTCCTTTTAATATAGTGATATAGATTAAAGAATAAAAACGGATTTCGGACACAATTTACGTTTTATTCTTCTAATTGCTTTCAGTGGTTTTTGTTAACACCTAATAGTTGCCACGTTTAACTAAAATAATTGTATTATAGGTACGGAATTATGTGCAATTTCTTTTTTAAATTGAAATTAAACTAGAATGGTGTACGAGTACGCGTAGAAGTATTATGTGAATTTGTGATTATTCATTTTTACCTTATTTTTCTAGAAGTAGGGTAACTGTACATAATGTCGATGATTTATAATAATATATTTAAAATAAAAATCATTAAACAAAAATTTAAATCAATTTTTTTAGCACCATCTAACAATTTTGATTTGAAACTTTTAAACACCTATAAATCAGCTTTTCGTTAATAGATAACGCTGCGATCTTTCGAAATCTTTATTTTTAATTTTTTATTTACAACGATTTTTATCTTCTGATTTGAGTTCCCCTCCGGGCGGTAGCGGGCGCTATTTACGATCGCAGATCGCAACGAGATACGTTGCGAAGCTCGAGCTTTTCCGAAAATAAGATCGAGATGCGGTGAATTCCTCGAGAATGACCAAGAAGAGTGACAAGGAAAGATGTGGTAAGGCGGAGAAAGAGAGGTATATAGGCGGGCGGCCTCTTTAATTTACGGTTTAAGATAACGCGGCGGTCGCCGAAATTAAGACCTAAAGATCGCAGTCGCCGAGGGGCGCATTTTTCGCGATTCCCGGCCTCCATAAAACGATAATTGCCGCGCGTAGATGGCACCCCTGTGCTCTTTCACCAGGCGCAGCGAGCGTGGTGCGCGATAAGGGCCGATTTTACGACCAAACCGCAAAAGCACCAACAACCTATATACTCTACACGTAGAGTAAAGATACCTGATTTTATCGGTTTGTGTATTTCTTTACACAATTTGTCTTAACAAAAATTTATTTGTTTTCATTCTTTTTTTCTATTTTGAAACAACTCTCGAAGATATCTAATGTTGACAGTTGCATTTTATAAGAGTTGAAAGACCAATAACATCCAGAATCCCAAAGCAGCTGAAGAATTTCCATAAAATTATATCTTAAGAAACTCTTTATTAGAGTCATCGTACCTATCTATGCTTATCCATACGATTATGAATGCTCTCTGAATGCAATCTGAGATATGCTTCCTTTCTGACACAACACCACTACTGCCTTCATGCTCTGCAGTTAGAAACGAGAGTGCCATTTGGGATAGTGTCCCGTACTTCTTCATGCATTCCTGGGACAAGGGTACAAAGTTTAGCAGCTTTGTAACTGAGTTATTAGTATCTGATTATATCATGCATTTTCTGAAGAATTTCCAGAAAGTTAAATCTTAAGAAACTCTTTATTAGAGTCATCGTACCTATCTATGCCAATCCATACGATTATGAATGCTCTCTTGGGTTCGTTTCTTCCTCCATCAACTGCTTGTTGTAAATCTGAGACGTGCTTCCTTTCTGACACAACACCACTACTGCCTTCATGCTCTGCAGTTAGAAACGAGAGTGCCATTTGGGATAGTGTCTCGTACTTCTTCATGCATTCCTGGGACAAGGGTACTTAGTCTAGCAGCTTTGTAACTGAGTTATTAGTATCTGATTGTATCATGCATTTTCTGAAGAATTTCCAGAAAGTTATATCTTAAGAAACTCTTTATTAGAGTCATCGTACCTATCTATGCCTATCCATACGATTATGAATGCTCTCTTGGGTTCGTTTCTTCCTCCATCAACTGCTTGTTGTAAATCTGAGACGTGCTTCCTTTCTGACACAACACCTTAAGAACCAAATAGAATAAACAACAGAACTACTAAACTAAAGAATATGAAAAACCAACCTCTTCACAGGTGAAGCTGAATTGATAGAGACTTAGAAAATGGCTATTGAATGTGCAGGCAGATGAAATTAGACGTGAAGATAAATTTCTTACGGTCGAACCCCTACTGAAATAAGTATTATGAGCTATCTGCAAGCTAGAAAGTAACAAAACTCCAAGAAACGACACTATATCAGCAGAATGTCCAAAAAATGGAGGAGAAACTTTGATGCTTGTCACTATTATGTTTATGTCCTCTCCCTTTTAGTATCAACTGAGAATTTTCTTATGATATACTTCAAAATCAGGTTAAAAAGTGTAGGTGCAAGGCCATCTTTCTGCTACAGCCTGGAAAGCGTTTGGAAACATGGTATCAAATCGTTCTGAATTCTCACTTGCCAGGTTATATTGGTCATTGTAAGTATAAAGCTCCATGGAACGACACCACATCGGCAGAATGTCTAAAAAATGGAGGAAAGAGTTTAGTGCTAGCTTTCTATCAGCTAATCTGGAAAATATGGAAAGAAAAGCGAATACCAACACTCTGGAAAAAAAGTGTTATAGTACCGATACATGAAAAAGGTGATAAAATGCAATGTACAATTTATAGGGCAATATTAATATTTTATTATCTCTTATTAACACAAGATACAAGGTCTCTTCTCTAATCTTATCACGACTGACAGCGTATGTGAAACATTAAATGGGAGGTTACACATAATGCAGAAATGCTGGAAATACATCGAAACATTGCCCATATCTATTTGTTGTAGATTTTAAACAGGCATACAATAGCTATGGCAGAACTAGGCATACCAAAAATATTAACAAATCTCAAAAAGCCTGTGTAGAGAGATCTACACCATGTATCTTTGCAATCAATAATGGTTTCAAACAGGGAAATGCGTTCTCTTCACCTTTCTTTAAGTTGCTTGGTTAGTTTGGTTAGTTTAGCTTGGAAAGTGTCGTGTAGAAGACAAACACAAAAACGCTGCTATTTAAAAATCAAGGTCCTCGAATTATTCTGGTTTTCGCTGATGACATAGATAGATGTAGTGACATAGATGTAGTGGAGATACAACTATCCATGTCAAGGAAGCGTTCATTAAACTGGTAGTTGTTGCAAGGGAAATTGGCTTACGAATCAACGATACACAAACATAAATCAACAAAATATATGATTACAACAAGAACAGAACGACGAGACAGAATAGGGCAGAACGTGACAATGGACAATTTCCTCTGACAAAAACATAACACAAGAGATTGATAGCAGAACAGAATGCAGGGAGTAAATCGCTACTAGTTTTATTACAAATGTAATGAAATCGATTATTTTGTTACAAGACCTATAATGACATATCCATATGAAACATTTTAAAGGACGATGACGAAACAAAATAAGAACCGATTAAAAATCGAGGAAAGAAGAATTCTTGAAGGGGTATACTGGCTAATAGAGAATTGCAAGAACTATATAACCAGCCAGATATACTGAAAGTAATAAAGTCAGAAAGAATGAGATGGGCTGGCCATGTTAGGAGAGAAGACAAACGTGTCATCAAGTTGGTAATGGAAGAGTCTTCAGAGAGAAGGCAGCCGCTGAGAAGACCAAAGATGTGGTGGACGACTAGAAAAGCTAATGTTGGTCCGCAGCAAATAGAGGCAACTTGCAAAGTCAACGAAGACGCAGTGGTAGTTGTAATGTTACGGAGAAAGGGAGAGAGAAAGCAAAAAGAAATTAGGAGAAGACATGTTTGTTTGTTCTAAACAGGTTCATTCAAACAGACTGTTGCCAAAGTTTTGGAAAAATGATATGTCGATTGTTGCTGGTATGCTGGAGAAATTTACATACTGTGTTAATTAATTATCGTACCCGACGTTATAATTGCAAGTATGCAACCAATATCACAGTGCAATACGCATCATACGTAAATCGCGTATTACAAAAAAATTTTGTGATACTGTATTTAAGATATTTGATGATTTTGAAGAAACTCTTTTGAAATAGTATTTTCCCCTACAATTTTGTGAGATGAATGAGCGGTTGCATAAAGACATTAGAAAGACTGTATCAAAAAGACCGTAAATATCGCTTGAATATCAATATGTTTGATATTGGTGTTGGTGATAATACCGAGATGTTTAGCTCTCATGAGAAAAGAAATAAAACACATAAATCTAACTAATTTTATAAACAATTTATTATTACGTAATTTAAAAACTTTACAAACCAAATGTTAAATCAAAAGGTTTAAGCCCAACCAAGTAAACCATAAAGGACGTCCTTAACTCTTTGAACATCGATTCCGTAAGCGGTGAGGGTTTCAACCAAATATTGGACTTCGTAATCGTCAAACAAGAAATCTTCTAAGAAGGACCTGGATTCAGAGCTAGAAATCCTCTCGAAAAATTCAACGAAATCGCCACTGTCGCTCAAAAGTTCATCTAATTTAGCGGCGACGGCATCCAAAGAGAAATATTCAAGGCATTCATCGACGAGAGCCCTAACTCCACCCATATCTCCACCGGGTCCAATTTCAACGCCGTTGATCAAATCGTGAACTTGATCGACTACGATTTGCAAATCGACGCCACGTTCCAAAAGCCAATCTTTGAATCCTTGCCATTGAGCGTTGTCCCTAACGCGTTCAACTAAACCTTGCCAATCTCCGGTTGCACCTTGGAGGTAGCCGAGAACTCTTCCGTATTCGCTGTCTCCTTCACGGAAACGTGCAGAAACTGCTTTCCATTCATCGATGGGAATGGTTGAGGTGAGCTCGAGTAAATCGTCTCTGAGCGAGCCGTAGGAAAGGCCGAAACAGGCCAAGAAGATTAAGAAGAATTTCATTTTTATCTATTAAAATAAAATTACAATTATAATTAAAACATTATTTTAAGATTATTAAAAAAATTTCTTACCTTTGTAGTTATTGGACCACAACTGAATACCCCTTGTGAGAATAATGTCTCTTTTATACTCACCCAGGGGGCTTCAATTGACGAAATGTCTTATTATCTAATCTATTATAATTATATTTACGACTTTTAGTCGAAGAACCCTGTACTTGAACCGAATTTGGGGCATTATCTTTCATCTCGAGGGTTTAACAAATTAAGTAAGATCAACTTTATCTGTATTCTGGACGTACATGGGAATTGACGTTACCCAATCAATTTTATTTTTTTAAGTCTGAATAAACACATTTCTACATTTTAATCTCACAATAAAAGATATAGGTATGTATATAAAAAAAACTATTACGAAACAGATAACCATTATATATAAATTAATACCTGTGTATTAACAGGGGGTCCGATAAAAGTGATTTATTAGTTAATTAGTGGTTGTTAAAAAGTAAAAACTCCGAATTAATCCAAAATTAAAATGAATGTGATTTTAACTTAGTTATAAAAAACATCAAGCTCTTTGTTATACAAAATCTATAAATATGAATGAAAAGATTGAGGACCCACTCGAGATTGAGTTTGAAATGCTTCAATTTCATCTTTATGCAAATTACTGATTATTATCATTTTTTAACGAAGTAAATTTAATTGATCGAAATGAATGTTATCAATCTCGTTAATCAATTTAATCGAGATCTATTAGATTATGATGTTAATTACGCATTCTCTTTTAAACTTTACACTTAAAGTACAAGGTAGTGCCAGGTTTTCTCAACTGTGTTCAGTTATTTTTGAAGTAATTGAAGAAATGTTAAAGTTGATTGAGAGAATAGAAGATTTTATATAAGTCTGAAAACATTATGAAACCTATACGCTTATATGTACACCAAATAAAGTGTTAACAATCTTCAAAAAGAACTGAAATAAGCTAAGAAAAGAGACATAATTGGTAGAGCTAAAATCAACATCAACATTAAACCTTGAAGAATATGCTTATTGAAGCCAGGTTAAGCAGGTTATTGAAGATAAAACCATAGAAAAACATATGTTGAGATAACATATTATGAGAGATTCTTCAAGATTCTAAAAAAGCAGGAACTGTCTAGAAAACACAAATTCTCTTTTCTCACCTCAATCGATCTTTTCTCCGAGGCGGGAAGGTACATAATAACATGCCAAGACAGGATCTTTCCATCGTTAGTATAAGGAAGGTAAATATATACGACACAAAGTATAAAACTAGGCTATATAATAGCTGACACATAGCTCACACTATAAAGATATGGATACTCAATGAGTTGCAATATCTACCGCGGCTAGTTTTTTGAAAAAATATCTTAAACAACTTTATGAATATGTTTAAATAAATGATATTTTTCCAGAATGTTAATTGAAATTGAAACATAACATCACGTCGGTATGAGAAGCTTTAGCAGCCCGTAGAATAAGCGATCGTATGAGACTTCTTAAAATTGTAAAATAATGTTTGGTATTCCTGGCAAAAAATCACGAGGTTTGCCAACCATGGTGATTGACTTCTAACTAACTCTTCAATTTACTTAGAAGAATACACAATGTGCAATGTGATCTCTCTTCACAGTTACTTTCTGTTGATACACAATCAATCTTTAAATAACCGTCATCATACTTTCGATATTTTCATTAAAGCAGAAGAAGCAGAGAAAGCAAAATTTTTTCAGATTAGGCACTTTGTGACAGGAAGCAAGGTGTTTTCTGATTAAGCCGAGGTTGCTTGCAGCCAAGACTGACCAATTAATCCCATTTGAATTCAAAACTGGTTAACACAATGTAATACTTCGGCTGCCAGCGAGCTCGCCTATACTTAAAATAGAGAAAACAGCATTTATTTATTACGCCAAGGTTTCTTGCTGCCGAGGCTGCAGGGAAAAAATTGCAACGCCTCGATCGCAATTGAGCTCGGCTATTCTTGTGGCAGAAAATCTATAAGTTTGCCTGCTTAAGCTGATATCATGCTAAAAAACACATTGCAATGCAACGGCGACCTTATTAGCTGAACTTAGAACACAGATTCTATACTTTTACCTGATTAAGGTAAGGTTGGTTTCATCCGAGGCTTTACCATTAATATAAGAACATCCCAAAAGTGACCAACGTCCTGATTTGTGTCTAATTTCGATTGATTAATATTATTTTTTTGCATTGGTTAAGAACCGTCACAACAGAATAAAAAATGAACTTTTGAAGATTAGAGAAGATGAATTTTTACTATGAAGACATTTAGCGCAGATATCTATATAGATAATGCTTTTATCGCATCTTGAATCGAATTTCCCCAATTGATAGTTATAGATGTAACATAGATATCATAATAAGATAAAAATTAAATAACAGCAAATTTAATCTACCTTTAATTTTTAGTTTTTTTAGAATTATAATGTTGCTTTTAATAAATTGCAAGATTTAAATTACTCAATTCGTGCTGAAACATGGATTTAGTCTTAATACTAGCAAATTTTAAGATATATTTCCAATTCCTATTCAAAATTGCAACAGTTGTTTCTTTTTAGCGTTCTACATCACATTAGAAGTATTGTGCAGATAATGACATTTTAACTGTAACAGAAAACAAATAATAAAACCTGTATGATTCTATTAATACTAAATTTTAAAAGATTTAATAATTAATTTCAAATGATAAAATTACGTCTACTTTTATACAATCTTGTTCAAGTATAGTAACAAAAGTCTTCTTGTACCTTCGTCTAGGGATGCATCCCTGTTTGTCAACCTCATGTTAGAACTTTACTCCAAAAATGAGAAGAACCAGCTCTGTCCTCTCATCCATTCTTTCCACATGCTCCTTACACCTTTTCTTTCTTACTTTTGTCCATCTTACTACATCTTGTATGTTACATCTTTCTAGAAGTGTTGGTCTGCCTATCTTGCAGTGTCCCATTCAACATACATCTCAAGTCTTCTTTGTTTCTGCTGTCGTCTCTTATTAAAGTTGGTATTAATATTTAATAATTAAATTGGTTTCTTCATTGTTGCTAACTTCGGGTTTAACGTTTTTTTATTTAAACGTTTTTGTTTTTTGAGATAAGTGCGTCATGTTTGGACTCATTTTAAAGGTTTTTTTTGATAAAGAATACATCATGAAAGAACACTATGAAGTTATCCATTTGTCTATTATATGATAATTAACTTTAGATTAAAAATGTCAACCTCAATTTTGACATATTTGTAATCTTCATTAAAAATCCTTTAAAATGAGTACAAACACGACATATTTATCTTCAATATTAATGAAGTNTTTAAGATATATTTCCAATTCCTATTCAAAATTGCAACAGTTGTTTCTTTTTAGCGTTCTACATCACATTAGAAGTATTGTGCAGATAATGACATTTTAACTGTAACAGAAAACAAATAATAAAACCTGTATGATTCTATTAATACTAAATTTTTAAAGATTTAATAAATAATTTCAAATAATAAAATTACGTCTACTTTTTTACAATCTCGTTCAAGTATAGTAATAAAAGTCTTCTTCTTGTATACCTTCGACTAAGGATGCATCCCTGTTTGTCAAACCTCATGTTTGAACTTTACTCCACAAATGAGGAGAACCAGCTCTGTGTCCATCTTGGGCGATCGTCTTTGTGGTCTTTTTCCTTTCGGTTGTCCATACATGCATATTCTGGCCAATCTCCTCTCATCCATTCTTTCCACATGCTCCTTACACCTTTTCTTTCTTACTTTTGTCCATCTTACTACATCTTGTATGTTACATCTTTCTCTGATAGAAGTGTTGGTCTGCCTATCTTGCAGTGTCACATTCAACATACATCTCAAGTCTTCTTTGTTTCTGCTGTCGTCTCTTATTAAAGTTGGTATTAATATTTAATATAATTAAATTGCTATCTTCATTGTTGCTAACTTCGGGTTTAACGTTTTTTATTCTAACTTTTTTGTTTTTTGAGATAAGTGCGTCATCTTTGAACTCATTTTAAAGGTTTTTTTAATGAAAATGACAAATATGTCAAAATTGACGTTGACGTTTCAAACCGGAAATGATTGTATTTTCATTAATATTAAAGTTAAATATGTAGAGTTTGAACTCATTTTAAAGGAATTTTTATGAAGTTGACAAATATGACAACATTAAAAGTTGAAAGTTCGAACTTTTTGGGTTTTTGAGATAAATGCGTCAAGTTTGGGCTCACTTTAAAGGTTATTTTATGAAGATTACACTTAAAACTTTCTAGTTCTAGTTCTAGTGTTAGTTCTAGTTTTAATTGTAATTCTTGTACATTTGAATTGATCTAAAAATTTGTTTCTTTTGATTTAATCCACTTACCTTGCTTATAATTTCATCCATTTACCCATTTTGAATTAAATACAACCTTTAAATCCAATTAATTATGTGTTTTTCNCTTCATTATAAATCCTTTAAAATGAGTACAAACACGACATATTTATCTTCAATATTAATGAAGTCATGGTCAACTTCCGGTTAGAAATGTCAACGTCAATTTTGACATATTTGTATTTGTCGTGAAAAATCCTTTAAAATGAGCCCAAACATTATACGTTTAATTCGAATAAGAAATACAATAAAAAAAATTAAAAATTAAGGTTGATATTAATATTTAATATAATTAAATTGCTATCTTCATTGTTGCTAACTTCGGGTTTAACGTTCTTTATTCCTACTTTTTTGTTTTTTGAGATAAGTGCGTCATTTTTGGACTCATTTTAAAGGTTTTTTAATGAAAATGACAAATATGTCAAAATTGACGTTGACGTTTCAAACCGGAAATGAATGTATTTTCATTAATATTAAAGTTTAATATGTCGAGTTTGGACTCATTTTAAAGGAATTTTTATGAAGTTGACAAATATGACAAAATTAAGAGTTGAAAGTTCGAACTTTTTGGTTTTTTGAGATAAATGCGTCAAGTTTGGACTCACTTTAAAGGTTATTTCATGAAGATTCTAGTTTTAATTGTAATTCTTGTACATTTGAATTGATCTAAAAATTTGTTTTTTTTTTGATTTAATCCACTTACCTTGCTTATAATTTCATCCATTTACCCATTTTGAATTAAATACAACCTTTAAATCCAATTAATTATGTGTTTTTCATTAAAAAAAACTTAAATTGAACGTCAATTTTGACAGTTGCTTGTCAAAAATGTAATATTTGGATCTTAATCACCATGGTAACCGAGTCAAGTTTGGATAACCTTAAAATAAAAAAATTTTATTACGATTTTTTTATCAATTCTAACCTAATTTTTATTAATTTTAAAACATTTCGAATTGTTTACGATTATGTCGCATTCATAATAAAGTCGTTAATTGCAAATAATTTAAATCGATTCTAATTAAGAGTAATAAATTAAAAATATCTTTTTTTGATTTAATCCACTTATCTTGTTTATAATTCCCTAGATAAACCAATTTTGAGTTAAATACAGCCTTTTAAACCAATTAAATAAGACTTTTTCCTTAAAAATCCTTAAATTCAATTTCAATTTTGACAAGCACCTGCAATATTTGGATTTTAATCACCATGGTAACCGAGTTAAGTTGGATAATCTAAAAATAATAAAATTTTAACCGTTAATATTTTGCTTTATATTTTAATATTTTTTTTATTTTTATATTTTTGTATATTGCTTCTTAAGTGAAATACACTGTATAAATAATGTTTACTCAACGGACCTTGAATCAGTTGGGGTTTAGATGTAAGTTGTGTTGCCTATATAACACTCAATATATTGACATTCAAAATAATTTTGTACAAATTTGGCGATAATAACTAGTTTGATGTAAATTACGTAAATAAAATGATTTTAATTTTTAATATCTTATTTAATTGAATTACGAGTAAATTTATTCTTAAAACAGTTTTTTATTGAATACGACTCAACAATTATTATTTTAATACAACCATTTAATAATAGATGTCGCGTCACACATAATAAAAAAATTAATAGTTATCAATTAACCGATAATTAATTCCGTTTTAAATGATAATAAATTGCGTTAAATTTTTTAAATACGAAAGTATTTCCTAGAAAAACTTTTATTTTTATTACGTTTCTTTAATTAATTTTTAATGGAGAAATGTGGTGGTGGTAGATTGATGTGACGTTTGTTACAGAAAGTATGACGTTTTGTACTCGTTGATGAACTGTGGAGAAGTGCACGAGTGTAACTGCAACGAAAGTTGAAACTGAACGTTTTTTAAAGAAAATAAGAGGTTTTATTTCGTAACTCGTCTTGGTGGTCTTCGCAAATGATAAAAATTCAATAATTTAGATACGTTATTAGATTATCTTGAGTTTAGTTTTAAATTTAGGTCAGTTGTATATTTATTGTATATTTTTAGAAGTGCAACAAGAAATAAGTTAACAGGTAAGTTTTATAAGATTCATTTAATTAATTAATTAGTTTAAATTGTTGTTCTAATTAAAGCCGAATGCAACTAATTAGAAACGGTATTTATTTTTATGTAAACAAACCACGTTGGAATGTGTTATTATTTTATTCTAAGATTTCTTGTATGAACGATAAATTTATTTCAAGAAAAAAACTGTTGAGTTTATTTATTTAATGATAAGTCGAATTTTGATCGAAACGATTATAGTGCACTTTTGTGATTTCAAAGCGGAACTTGCACGTTTTCTATGCCCTACTTTCCGAGACGAATTTTTTTTTATTTGCCGTCAACAAACAGAAAACTTTGAACTGTCCGTTTGGACTTTGCCCCCCGATCATTTTAATACAACGCACACCTCCTACCGCTGTGTTTATAAGCCTTTATGTTTACTTAGTGATAATTAAATTTATTTCTTTTTGATTCAATTAAAAAGAAAAATATTAACTCTTTTATAATCATTAATAATAAACTTATTGAAATAACGAAAAAATAAATAATTGTGGTATTGGAATGCAAAATAAACACTTACTACAAATGCGATATTATCTAATCACTTTTGATTATAGATTGTTGCGGATAATTATCTGATATTATAAAATGTGTCTAAACGTTGGATATATTGTTAATAAGTTGTTTTTTTAGTGCATTTAAACGAAAAACTAGAGAATGTGCGCAATTTAATTTGCGCACGTGTGGCCTCTGTTATGTGTTATCTTATTTGCACTTCCTTTACTTGGTCATATGCACTTTAGATATAGATTTTAATTAGAAACTATCACAAAATAATATCTTACAGGTTTTAAAGTTAAAGTCAATGTTGATAAAAAGTACTTGGATATTTCTCTAAATTTAAATGAAATTATTTTGTTACTACTTTGTGCAGATCTTTTTTACCTCTGAAACTTGCAGGATAAAATGATAATAATCCGATTTCTGTTAGTTGCAGAGTTTTGTAAAGTTTTGCCAGTGTCTAGAAACTCATTTCTAGACAGTATAACTCTTGTTGCTACTTTTTGCTCACTACCAAAGTGAGCATCATAGCTTTTTTCCAAATCGATTTTTTCTACAGTTAGAAATTTTAGCAAATTTTGGCAGAGTACAAGTCATTTCGTGTTTCTATTTAGTCCAGTGCATAAGTCAGCAAATAAAATTATATATACAGAGTGTCCCACAGCGTAACTGCAATAGCTTGGGTGATTTCAAGTCAAAAATGTCCCAAAACGCTATCATAACCTGTTGATTTTGTTATTATTAAAAAGTCCAGGTGGCCGTAAATGATAATTTGTTATTTATTGTTCCGCAGTTCCTTGGCCAGCAAAGTCACCAGACTTTAATCCCTTAGATTACTTTTTATAGAAGACTGAAAAGTTTAGTTTATGCAGAAAATATTGAAAATAGAGAACAACTAGTAGCTAGTATTATGGATGCCGAAGAAACTATTCGTGCTGATCCTGAGACTGTTAGAAGAGCTAGGTACCACTTCAATTCTAAGAAGAGCTAGACTATGTATACAGCAACTGGGTGGACATTTTGAGCAACTAATTCAAAAAAAAGCTGTTTCTTTTTAAATGGTCTACTACTACTTATTTAAAATTTCAAATGCTTTTTGCTCGGTTACGATAGCGTTTTGGGTCAAATCACCCCAGCAACGCACTCCCAAGCTATGGCAGTGACGTCGTGGGACACCTGTATAGTTTTTTGTATTTTTTCTTAAGTGCTTTTTGATGCAAAATCCTATCTCAACTCAAGCATAGATGTTGCCAGCGTTGAAGCAATAAATACCAATCCTTTTATGCATACAATGTTGTTTTATAGGATACAATAAACGTAGAGAGCTTTGGGAAAGGTTTACCTTTCAAAACTCGAATTACTGGCGTCTTTCAAGAAAATCCTAATTTGTTCTGCGCGAACTACATGTAATTTCTTTTGCATGCTACAACATTCTTCTCTCTGAATCCTGTTCACTTTTTATGTTATGCATTAATTATCAGATATCCTTACTTAGCACTTTAAGACTTTTGTCGATCTATTATTTTTTGGATGTGATCTCATATTGTACTATCCCACGCAAGAACATATTCTGTTTGAAATAGTCTGTCAGTTTCAACTGGATAGTTGACTATATTTAAATGATTATCTGTTAGGCATCTGCGAATGAATAAATGTTACGAAAACTATTTAGATCAGAAGTAGTCACCAAGCAATTTTTGGTTGCTGACTATAAAGATAGTTGTTAACTAATGCATTTTGCTAAAAATATATACTATAAAGTATCTGTAATTTGGCAATACTACATTTAAGTTTTTGCCGTCTTTCTAGCCATATTATAGTTAGACCATCTTTATAGTCTCCAATAAGTGTTCTGCATTTACCCCTTGTAGATTTGTAACATTCTCGTGAATATAGTACAAAATGCGTATATTATTCGTTATTGTTGTAGTAGTTATTTTGCTAGTTAGCATAAACATTTTGGCTATAAGTATTCCTAGCGGTCAAGGAGTAATTCGAAAGAGATATATCCCTGCTTCGGCCGCAAGCGACCTTGACTTGTTACAACTACATACAGGTGTCCCTTTAAGGGAACAGAACGGCTGTATCTCGACACCGGTAAGTTAGACTATGAGCTATAACTTTGACAATATCATTTAATAGCTTAGATAATACTGCATCGCTTTTGTTTTGCGATATTTCTCATATCTATCATAATAAGGGAGCGTTTTCAAATGTTTACATTTTAATATCTCCTGGACCATTCACCCGATTTAAATATTTTTGGTCTTATTTGAAAGAGCATTTTCTAAAAATGCATTGTTTAAAACAGATAAGCTAGAGGGCGTTATCTGCAGGGATTGGCGTAGCGATTACAGGAAGCTGGCAACGTGTAGCCCATTCAGACATCTCTATAAATTCGTAAATCACATTGGTTCGCAATGAGATCCCACATTATCTGGGAACCCCGACGTCCACAAGATTCCTCAAGAGAATAATATGTTTCTCCACTACATTGTTTTACATCAGGCCTTAACAGATACCGATTATGATAACAGACTGAACTATTATCATTAATTTTTAAATATGATTAAGGCAAATCCAAACCTTTTATCACAAATGCTATGGATGCATGAAGCATCTTTCAACAAGCTGGTGTAAACTTGCATAATATGCATTCTTGGTTCGAGCAAAACCCACATTGCTTTCACCTCTTTATGTATGGAGTAGACTAAACGAATTGACTTTTCAAGAAAAAACAATTAATAACAAAATACTAAATGCCATTAGTAACGTGTACAGGGCTGAGGCTTAAACAGTATTTTTTTTCGTTGAAACTAGATTAAATAAATGCTTCGAGGTTTATGGAAGGCATTTATTAGGTGTCCCGTTAGGGCTTAACGGGACACCTGTATAGTCATGGCTGTGGTATCATGTTTTTGGGAACGCGTGAAATAATAACGTACATGACGAGATCTTTCACTTTCATTAATTAAATGCGTTGCCTCGACCATAAGCGACTTGCCCTTTAATCTTGACCTTGAGACTGCTTCAGCAACACGCAATCTCGAATTGTTGCTGCTAAAATTTACGACTGTAGTGTAGACTCCGTTTTTTTGAAAACTACATGAAGTATTAATGTGTATGCCGGAATCTTTCAGTTTTAATATGGCCTCGGCCGAAAGCGACCTCACTTATCGCAAAACACTATTTTCTGAAAATGAGTGGTTAAGTTGCCGTGTACTCCAGATTTTGAGCTGCAAAAATTGGAAAGTGTTTGTAAAATATGAGTAAATAAGTAGTAAAAAGCTCGTGGTAGTATTTGGTTCACCAAAATTACAGCACCTTAAGATATGGTTGTGCTTTAAGAGTAAGCAGATTTTATACAACTTTAAAATCTCAAGTATTCCCAGTAGTTAAGCAGTAAGTTTAGTATCTTGAGGTTTTAATGTCATAGTTATAAATAATCCAGCGGTCCATTATTAAATTTACGTTGAGAGTGTACTACGTCGGCCGCAAACTACCTATTTTAATGATGACCTTGAATTTTAAAATTGTAGCTGCAACTACTCCCGCCTTGGTACATTAATGTAATACTTATGGCTGAGGTATATACATATTCTTTTTGTAATTATACTAAACATTGATCTAAATCTTTAAATTTAGACATTGGTATACCTTGGTAGCAAGCAATTTGGGTTTTATGACCTTGAGATTTTAATATCCCTGTTGCAAGTATTCTTAGCAATTCAAGAATAACTCGGCGTTAAGATTGCATTATAAATAACAGTTATGGCTGAGCTGTATACAAATATTTATTATAATTTTACTAAATATTGAGTGACTTTAATTAAGACATTGTTAACATCTTGGCTTTACGTATGACCTTGAGGTATTAAAGTTGCGGTTAAGATTGCACTGCATCGGCCGTAAGCGACATCAATTTTAATGATGACCTTGAGTTTTAAAGTCATGGTAGCAAGTATTTCCAATAGTTGAGTAGCAAGTCAACATTTAGTTTTTTTATGAATCACATGGAATAGTAACATAATCTTTTGGTCTCAACTGCATAAAGGAATTCAACCCAATTATTAAGGAATCCACTCAACTAATTAAGTATTAAGTATACATAATTTATTTATTATTTGGCAACAATTTCGCAACACTCTGCAACTCTACTTCCCTAAAAATATTTTGACACCTGATATTATGATATGATATCTGAACATAATGTTTAAAATCAAAAACGTTATTGATACATAAACCGGATACCGAATAAAATTTCAAATTATCACATTGATTATAATGTTATTTACTTATGATATTTGTGTAATAATCAAGAAATGTATCGACGAAAACAATTTTGTCTCCGAGATAATATAACACTTACGTCAACCAATTTTTTTTAATGTATAAACAACATTTTTGTCGTATCAGAAACAAAAATGAAAATATTCCTTTTGACGGCAAAGCAGCTCTATTTTTTTTTTTCTATTTTTTTAATAATTCAAGTTCAAAGACCAAAGGTTAAACGGTTAAAAATTATTATTCAATTTTTGAACCGTTTATTTCTCTATTTTTCTTCAAATCGTTTTCACAAAAACAATTTCACATTAAAAATAATTATTCTGATTAATTAACATATTTAATCTAAATGACTTTACATTTTCACAAACACTTTCAACGAAAGTAACATGAATAATAATTACGTTTTAATGACTTAATACGCACAATGAAAAAATAAAAGAAACCACGTTTTATTAGAAACCAGTTTTTATTATGAAATGCGGAATTTATTTATCAATAAAAATTTCATATAATGAAATAAATAAATTGCGTAATCGATATACGTGTGTATTTTTTTTTGTATGATTCAATTGGCGAGCCCACCCGTTAGACACCGAGTATTAAACATGTCGAGATAACGTTTTTGATGCAATAAAATTGGAGTGTCTGTGAGTTCGTGGGGGCCAGCCTTGTGTAGTGCGTATGTTTACTCGAATTTTTGCCTTTACGAATCGATACCATCGGAACTTTGCACCGCCGGCCGTAATCCGATGATAACGCATCTGTCGAGACGTTTTATTAATAAACACATAATATAAATACAGGTAGATTATTTCGGGTAAATTCATTTTTGAAATTTTTTTATTAGAGGCGGGCGAAGCTAGAAGAAATTATAACTAAAGAGAAACCATGGCGGAAGCTCATCAAGCCGTTGCTTTTTCTTTTGCCATCACCCACGAGGGATGGGATGTTAATTTTGATAGAGAGGTACTCAATCTTGTCTTCCAATCAGGAATTAGATCATGGAAGAAGAGAGTTGCTCGATTTATGGTAAGTAAAATTTTTTTTGATTTAGTGTTCAATTAATTTTTCCTGGCCATTATCACCGAATCAGATACATTCTGGTTCAATCCGAATGTTTGTAGTTCTAGGTCTAGTGTTAATTCGACTTTTAGTTCAATAAAAATATACAACCACCTGACTTTGAATAATAACTAAAACTAGAACATTCAGGTTTTTGAATCTTTAGACGCATGGCTAAACCTGAATGTTTCTAGTTTTGTCTTCCTAGTGACCAAATCATCCACGGAAAAATAACTGTTTAGCAACTTCCGTTTCCATGATAAATTTGATCGATCATGAAATGTTACGAGTTCAAGTGGTCTACGAATTTCTGATCCTTTTCCATGCTGCCAGATCACAAAGTTGTCATCTACGTAACGAAACCGAATGATACTCCCCATTTATAAAGGTGGCGCAAGAAATTTAATCGCCAACTATAGACTATAACTATAGCCTCAAAAGTCTTTGAACGTCTTATCTATGTTTAATGTCAAATCATCCTTAATCCTTGAACAACATGGCTTTTTTCAAATATTGCTTTCTCAAAAACTAAAAGTTATTTTTCAAAACGGCTTTTTGCATTAAAAAGAGGACAATTTAATTAATAATTGTTGATATTTCCACAAGGACCCTTCAAGAAATTAATTTTATAGCGAATTTTTAAAATTATCGATGAAAATTGCAACATTGAAAATTTTATCAAAACTTCAAATATTGTTTTCTCAAAAACTAAAAGTTATTTTTCAAAACGGGTTGGTTCATTGGAAAGAGGACACTTTTATTAACACTTTGGGAAATTTTCAAACTCATATTCAAAGAAATGGATTTTATACGAATTTTTAAAACTTAATCTGCGAAAATTGCAAAATTCGAAGATATTGTCGATTTCAAAAATTTATTTCTCAAAAACTAAAAGCGATTTTTCAAAAAGGCTTGTTGCATTTTCTGCTCATATTGATTATATCATATATGGTGGTTCTACATCGAAACTTACAAAGATATCTTGAGGATCTAACTTCATATTTATGATTGATTCACAAAAAACGTAGAATCTCTGACATATGATTTTTGTTTTACTTGTAAAAGGAGGCAGAACCATTAGCAAGGAGTTTTTCCAACGGGTACGTTGCAGAATTTATGGCACTGACAATATTTAGGTTCTAGATAATCCATAAATTTTTGATGATACTAGGCCCTGTACAAACAAACTTCTCTGTTATTCTGCTGGAATTTGCCCTGATTGTGAGTTGGACTGGATCCAAAAGGTTCGTCATCTTGTCCATGACGATGGAGAAGATAATATTCTTCCCTGCCCATGACGATGGCAATATGGAATCCAGTCCCAACGGATTACCAGGCATTTTGATTGTCAAGTGTGCCCCTGAACTAGCTAATCCAGTTTATATTATTTTTTTGTTGTTGAGTAAAAAAAAGCGTATGTTCTTCCTATCTATGAGCCTGGAAGTAGGAACCTTGTCACTAATTATCACCCTATTTCCATTTTTTCGATATTATGTAAAGTTTTTGAAAAAATCGTTTATCAAAATTTTATAAACAACAAGATGGCTTTCTTCGTGGCCGATCTCTAGAGACTGCTCTGGTATCCTGCACAAATTACATTCAAACTTGCATGAACGAAAATTGCCAAGTCGATGCTATTTGTGTTGATTTTAGCAAAGCTTCTGACAAGCTGCATCATGGGGTACTCCAGGCCAAACTAGATAAATTTAACCTTTTCTTATTCACTTCTGATTGGCAAAGGTTACAAATTGATCAAGACAGATTACAAAATTATTGCTCAACAAATTTTCTTTACTTAAATTACAACAAATGCAATCAAATAGTGTTCAGCAAAAAAAGTTACGTAGTGATTTTCACTTATTGGCCTTGGACCAGGACACCTAAATGCATCTTTGCATTATCCTGTTAAGAAATTACTCTCATACGAGTAAAGTATGATATAAACTAAACAATTTGCCAAACAACTTTTATATTATGATTAATTTTCATTGATTTTTACAGAATAGCATTCACAATGGAGTATATCCAGCTCATTTATGGACGCTATGGTTAACCATGTCAGTGGTGGTCGCAATCCACTTTTCAGGTTTTAAAGTGCCTTATGATTTAGTGGCCAAAATAATGCCTTTTCTTCCTGGGTATGAATCAATTTCCCAATTATATTTAATTAATAATTTGGTAAATTTTTTTAGAACCAGTACAAAGTGGCAAATAATAGGTAGCGCAATTGTAGCGGGATTAATGTGGTTAACCGTTATTTACACCGTTAGATATACTCTGAAATTACTTCTCATGTACAAGGGATGGATGTACGAAGCCCGGGGGAAAGGCTCAAAAATGAGCAACAAATCCAAATTGTGGTTATTAGCCGTTCATTTATTGAGCGGAAAGAACCCTAAACTTTACAGTCTGCAAGGATCACTGCCCAAGTTACCTTTACCTTCCGTTCATGATACAATGCAAAGAGTTAGTTATAATTTTCTTAATTAATTTTTAAATACATCCTTATTTTTTAGTATTTAAGATCAGCTCGTCCATTATTAGACGATGAAAACTACGAAAAAATGGTTAAATTAGCCGCAGAATTTGAATCTGGTATAGCAGTAAAACTCCAACGTTATCTCATATTAAAATCTTGGTTCTCTAGTAACTACGTATCCGATTGGTGGGAAGAATACGTTTATTTACGTAGTAGATCGCCTTTAATGATCAGTTCGAATTTTTACGGTGTCGATGCGATTAAATTACAGCCGACAACGAAACCGGCGGCGCGTGCCGCATCTACAATTCACTCGTGCCTTATTTATCGACGCCTAGTTGAACGACAAGAACTTGAACCAATTCTAATCCACAAATGCGTCCCACTTTGTTCGTGGCAATACGAAAGGATTTTTAATACAACCAGAATTCCGGGAATCGAAAGCGATAAAATTCAACATTGGTCCGATTCAAATCATATCGTTGTTTATCATAAAGGAAGATATTTTAAAGTTATTATTTATAAAGGACGAATTTTAAAACCAAGAGAAATTCAAACGTAATATGATTTTGTTAATTAATTAATTAAATAATTATATGTATAATTAATTTGTAGACAAATTCAACAAGTTCTTGATGATACCTCCCTCCCACAAAAAGGCGAAGAAAAATTGGCTGCTTTAACAGCGGGGGAGAGGACACATTGGGCGCAAGTTAGACGTAGTTTATTTAATAAAGGTGTCAACAAGATATCTTTGGATCTTATTGAGAAAGCTGCTTTTGTGGTGACTTTGGATGATGTGCCTTATGTTTATGATAAGGTATTTTGGATTATTTTATTTATTAATTTTTTTTAATTGTAATTTTTATTTCCAGAAAAATCCCTCCAAATTGGATGAATATGGAAAAATTTTGTTGCATGGTAAAGGGTATGATAGATGGTTTGATAAATCATTTACTTTATGCATTGGAAACAATGGAAAGGTAAATCTTAAATTTTGTTTTTTAACATCTGTATATATCTTTACTTTGTGGACGAATATCTTTGGATGTTTTGATCAAATTTAAATCTTATTGTGTTCTTCATATATGAACGTATGTTTTGCAAGCTGTCTAAATGTATATGGGCTACAAAATCCTGCATATATTACGTTGGTCTTTATAAATATTCTAATAATGCTTTTACCAGGCTGATTATTAATGCTGTAAAAATTCATGCTGTAAAAATCATTGGCATAATATCCACAACATATACTATAACAAAAATGATAACAATTTGAGGCAAACATCTAAATGTTGATCCCATTTAGTTTTCAAGTTGTACATCAACTAGATAAATTGATTTTGACAAATACTAATGCAAAACATTAATAATATTATTCACTAATTATCCTTGATCTATTGGTTTAAGGAGCAAAATGGCACTTAATTATTAGTGCTGAGATAGGCAGGTGCATTATGTAGTAGGAGAATAGCTTTCATTTTATCAGGAGATAGCTGGAACATATCCTCCTGATATTATTAGTACTCCAAGTTTTATTGTTTATGTCACTTATGTCAATGCCTTACTAATTTTCTTCTTTTTTATTACTTCTTGATTCCTAATTCTTCTTGTATTGTTTGGATTGGGTTGAACCTGCATTGTATAGCTATAAATATTATTTTGAGACTCATACATTATTTCTTGTTATCGTCAGTTTAATAAATGATTTATCAAAAAGTTCTACAAAACATTTAAACGGAGGTTTATGCCGCAAAATGTTAAGAAGATGACATTTATGGAGTTAAACATTGACCTTCTGTTACTATCTCCAAAGAAAATCAACTAAATCGCACAACAAGTCATCACAACACCTCATCAAGCCACGCAAATTAAACCAAAATAAAACCTAATCTGAAGTCAGAAAATAATTCAACTCCAACACAAGCCAACCTAACTCTAAAGTAACTCAAACCCAAAGAAATTCAAGTAAGAGGCAAGCTAACCATCATACAAGCCAAACAACGCCAAACCAATCCAACCTAACTCTAAGCAAATTGACTCAACCTCAAAGTAAGTCAATCCAAACATAAATCAAGGCAACCCAACTCATTGTAATTCAAATTTGACACATGGTTGGGTTGGATTGCTTTAGAAAATCCCAATTCAGAAAGCAAATCAAGTTAGTTCTAGACCAAGTTAACCAGAAAGTAATCCAACTCCAAACCAAGCTAACTCAATCCTATAGGAACTAAGCGACAAAATAATCCTACTTCAAAACAAGCCAATTTAACTCTAAAGTAATTCAAGTACAAAGAAATTCAACTAAAAATCAATAAATCAAGGCAACCCAACTCATTGTAATTCAAATTTGACACATGGTTGGGTTGGATTGCTTTAGAAACATAGCCCAATTAGAAAGCAAATCAAACAAGTTCTAGAGAAAGTTAACCAGAAAGTAATCCAACTCAAAACCAAGCTAATGCAACCCTATAGGAACTAAGCGACAAAATAATCCTACTTCAAAACGAGCCAATCTAACTCTAAAGAAACTCAACCACAAAGGAATTTAACTAATCGTAAGAGGCAAGCTAACAATCATACAAAGCAATCAAGACAACCCAACTCATTGTAATTCAAATTTGACACATGGTTGGGTTGGATTACTTTAGAAAATCCCAATTCAGAAAGTAAATCAAGCTAGTTCTAGAGCAAGTTAACGAAAAAGTAATCCAACTCCAAACCAAGCTAGCCCAACCCTATAGGAACTAAGCCATAAATTAATCCTACTTCCAAACAAGCCAATCTAACTCTAAAGTAACTTAACCACAAAGTAATTCAACTAAGAGGCAAGCTAACAATCATACAAAGCAATCAACGCCAAACTAATCCAACCTAACTGTATAGTAAATCGACTCAATCTCAAAGCAAGTCAATCCAATCATAAAACAAGGCAACCCAACTCATTGTAATTCAAATTTGACACATGGTTGGGTAGGATTTCTTTAGAAAATCGCAGTTCAGAAAGCAAATCAAGCTAGCTCAAGAGCAAGTTAACCAGAAAGTAATCTAACTCCAAACCAAGCTAGCCCAGCCCTATAGGAACTAAGCCATAAATTAATCCTACTTCCAAACAAGCCAATCTAACTCTGAAGTAACTCAACCACAAAGTAATTCAACTAAGAGGCAAGCTAACTATCATACAAAGCAATCAACGACAAACTAATCCCACCTAACTGTATAGCAAATGGACTCAATCTCAAAGCAAGTCAATCCAATCATAAATCAAGGCAACCCAACTCATTATAATTCAAATTTGACACATGGTTGGGTTGGATTGCTTTAAAAAATCTCAATTCAGAAAGCAAATCAAATTAATTCTAGAGCAAGTTGACTAGAAAGTAATCCAACTCCAAACCAAGCTAGCCCAACCCTGTCGGAACTAAGCCATAAATTAATCCTACTTCCAAACGAGCCAATCTAACTCTAAAGTAACTAAACCACAAAGTAATTCAACTAAGAGGCAAGCTAACAATCATATAAAGCAATCAACGCAAAACTAATCCAACCTAACTGTATAGCAAATCGACTCAATCTCAAAGTAAGTTAATCCAATCATAAATCAAGGCAACCCAACTNAGTAATTGTTTGATAAAAGACTCCATTGTTCTTCAATTTTTGGCCTTTTGTTTTATTACAAGAAGTAAGTCGAGATTAGCTAATCAAACTCTGGAAGCGTAGATTGCCGAACACGTTTTCGTGTTTTGTGTGATAAAATAAGACTTTTCATGACAAAGGTTTTCCATGTGTTTCGGTGTTTGTACGAACTATAGGTCAATTTCTGATTTGTCATGCTTACTGGAACTGCAGAATAAATTTCGGTGCAATCCAAAATTCTCCTGCAATTTTTAAAATTTTTGAAAGTAATAGGGAGACAGGTCTAATTCCGTTGTCTAGATGGTATTGTTCTCATTAAATTCTTGAAAACAACTTCATGTAGAGCATAGATCCACGTCATTATAATATTGGTCACTGTAGCTGCACTGCAACTGAATCTAATACTCAAATCTTCATGTGGGAGATTGAGCCTCAACTTCATTAATGTCATAAGTAGTTGATCAATTTTAGGAATATTTTTAGGTGATTTTCTTTCCATTTTATGTGTATAAATTAAAACTTCGTTTTTTGCACTTTAATGGATTTTATTTATTGTTTTCTCAACCGGTTTCGTTATATTTACATAGCATCTTCAGGAGAGTTACGTCAATTTGTTACAAAAATATACTTTAATTTGATTCATTTGCCCGTACCTATCCAACATACTCGTGTTTTTTTTTGTAATTTTGGTTAAACCCTTTTTTTTATTGCCACAAACTTTTGGCGCCCAACGTGGGGCCAAAAATTAACTTTGACAACGAACTCCATGACACATCACGTTTCTAAACTATTTTAATCCTCTTCAATCATACTTAATAAATATCATCTATATGGTTTAACAATAGAAATAAGCAAGGAATTACCAAATGAATCAAATTAAAGTATATTTTTGTAACAAATTGACGTAACTCTCCTGAAGATGCTAATATAGCGAAACCGGTTGAGAAAACAATAAATAAAATCCATTAAAGTGCAAAAAACAAAGTTTTAATTTATAAAGTAATTAGTTCATATATATTCATCCACAAAGTAAAATGTTCTGATTTAAATTTATTAATTATCTTTACTTAAATTTTCCTTTCTTATTATTAGGTTGGATTCAACGCTGAACATTCGTGGTAAGACACCATTAACAAATTTTCTCATTTAAATTTACTAATTTAATAATTGCTGCCAAAATAGAATAAATTCTCGCAGTTTTGAGCTACTAGAAAATAAGTTTAGGTGTGTTATAGGGGAGATGCAGCCGTAATGTCGCATATATGGGAATTAGTGGTGACCAATGAAGCAACAATGGTTCGGTAAAGCATTCAAAACAACAATACCGATAATTTTTTCTTTTTATAACCATGTACATAAAGTAGAGCACTCGTTTAGAAAGGTTTTGCCTTCGACGCCAGAACTGCCATTCTATCAACTTTATTCTTGCACTTTCTTTTCGGATTTAACCTTTTTTAATTTTATTTTTTATTTTATTATTTAATTTTTTTGTTTATTTGTGTTCTTGGTTGAGGTTAACACGATTTTCTTTTCCGGTACGCGTCCTAAAGGGCTGACGCCGCAGTCTTGACTCACATGTGGGAACACGTCATCTGTGACGATCTTGAAAATCGGTAAATCATCATCAACAAGCTTTTTTCTTTTTTCTTACTTCTAATTCCAAAAAAATATATCCATATAAAGCATTAATTTTATATTTTCTAATTTAACAATATCTAAAAAGGCTTGAAATGGATATATTTATATTTTAGTTTCTTTTTTTGTTATCACACTTTCCTATCTATTAGCTTAAATCTATCCGCTTCGTAGCTTTCGATTTCATAACAACCAAATAAAACTTAAAAAAAAAAATAATTTATTCCTTTTAGATATGATTCAAATGGTGACACAGTTGGTGAATGTGAAATTACACCCCCAACTCCAATTCGTTTACAATGGGACATCAAAGACGAAGCTGAAAATATAATTAATATAGCTGCTGATAACGCTTTAAAATTAATCAACGACGTCGATTTAAGGATATTCGTCCATGATCATTATGGAAAAGGTTTTATGAAGAAATGTAGAGTAAGTCCAGATGCGTACATTCAAATGGCTTTACAGTTGGCGTATTACCGCGATGCGGGGAGATTTAGTTTAACTTACGAGGCTAGTATGACGCGGTTATTCAGGGAAGGGCGCACTGAAACCGTTCGACCTTGCACGATTGAATCATCAGCGTGGGTTAAAGCTATGGAGGACAAGAATTGTTCGAATGATGAACGAGTGAGGTTGTTATGGGCTGCTTGCAATAATCACCAGGTGAATTAAAACATTAAATCTTTGTATTAGTATTTAATTTTTTAATTTTTAGTCGGCGTATCAAGATGCTATGTGTGGAAAAGGGATCGACAGACATCTATTTTGTCTCTACGTTATATCGAAATATCTCGAACTAGAGTCTCCTTTCTTACAAAAAGTATTAAGCGAACCATGGAGGCTATCAACATCGCAAACACCACATGGACAAACATCCCGAATGGATTTACAAAAATATCCTGATTGTATTTCAGCTGGTGGAGGATTTGGGCCTGTAGCTGATGATGGATATGGAGTTTCTTACATTATAGCTGGAGAAGATATGATTTTCTTCCATATTTCTCATAAAAGAAGCAGCACGCAAACGGTAAATTTAAAAATAAAAACGTTTGCAACGTTTTAAATCCAATTTTATTTTTAGGATTGTCACAGGTTTGCGAAAAAGATCGAAACTGCTTTATCTGATATGAAACAGCTCTTCCTTAACGTAAAAGCAGCGAATGGAACCAATTAATTAATTAATTATTTAGGTGATAAGAATTTGGTATATGGTTCTTTAATTAAGTTTAAATTTGGAATGAATAAAAAATGTACATATCGGCCGATCATTAATAAATTTAAATAATAAACTCCGCACAAGGACTTTAAAAAAAAAATAACGAATAAAAGCATTTAATGAATATTTTAATACATCCTTTATAGGGTTTAATCAAGTGCAAAGTCAATGCAATGTTATTCTGTATTTTATATTAATTATTGTTATTAATTTATAGTTTCTCATTATTTAGAACCCCCTTTTTTTAATCGAGCGACTTTGTTAATTTTTCTTCTATAATACTATGCTGTTTGTTTGAATAATAAAGGATTTGATTCTAATAAAATTTGATAGAAACTACAAAAATAATCTTTTTTACCTAATAACATTATAACCTATCAATTCTTCTTAAATACCAGGGATATAAACTTGATGTCTGGGTTTATATAACCCTTTTACCACCAGTACAAATTTTATTGTATCAGTTTCTCTTCAAATTAGGAAATTCAATTAAACAAAAAATCCAATCTTGCACAAAAAATAAAAAAGCATTTTCAAAACTTTAACGTTATTAGTAGCCAAAAGTAAACTAACATTATATGGAGGAAAAGTACTATCCCTTCTTAACTTAACAAACATTCTACTTCTGTCCAACTCATATGTCTCACAAGCCAAAATAATGTGATTAAAATCACAAAATTCTCCGCAATTGCAATTTGGAGAATCCACCATACCGTGCCTATACATATATGCAGGAAACATGCCGTGTCCCACTCTCAGGCGATTAATTGTAGATATCATATGTTTAGATTCTGAAGGCAATAGCTTATACCATGCCCACTCTCTGAAATCCAAGCCAACTCAATCTTCAGATTTTCTGCTGTACACTGCTAGTTAAGTTCTTTGATATTATTCACCAGATAATATACTTCCGTCTTCCTTCCCATGGTCACCTTCAATACACGGATCATGCTCAACGAATCAGAGAATATCACCACAGGTGACACCAGAGGCGGCGCTACCGGAGGCTGCAAGGAGTGCACTGCACCTGGGCGCCGCCTAAAAGGGGGCGCTGGCGCCCTTTTTAATGTTTTCTCCATATTGTTGGAGAAAGAGAAGGCAGTATTTAGTGTTTCAGACACTGTATTCAGACCTGTCGGAAGTATCTAGTCTTCAGAAAGCAGTATTTAGTCTTCTAGAAGCAGTATCTAGTCTTCTACCAAAGTTATGTATGTTTTCTTCAAAATATTTTATCTTTCTTTTGCAGTATTTAGACCTGTTAGCAGTAGCTAGTCTTCAGAAAGCAGTATTTAGTCTCCACAAAGCAATTTTAGTCTTTAGAAAGCAGTATTTAGTGTTCCGGACGCTGTATTTAGACCTGTCGGCAATATCTAGTCTTCAGAAAGCAGTATTTAGCCTTCTAGAAGCAGTATCTAGTCTTCTGCCAAAGTTATGTATGTTTTGTCCAAAATATTTTATCTTTCTTTTGCAGTATTTAAACCTGTTAGCAGTAGCTAGTCTTCAGAAAGCACTATTTAGTCTCCACAAAGCAATTTTAGTCTTTAGAAAGCAGTATTTAGTGTTCCAGATGCTGTATTTAGACCTGTCGGCAGTATCTAGTCTTCAGAAAGCAGTATTTAATCTTCCAGAGCAGTATCTAGTCTTCAGAAAGCAGTATTTAGTTTTTTAGTAGCAGTATCTAGTCTTCTGCCAACGTTATGTATGTTTTGTTCTGGATACTGACAGCTACTTCTTTCTGGGTGTCTATCATCATCTTTTTGGGAGCCTCTTATTATCTATACGGATCTTGTACCACCCGGTACCTCATTTCTGCAGCTGTTACTTTGCTTTTGTGCTTATCCTGCATTGGCAAAGTTTCCGTATTGGTGATTTCCTGTCCTGTGCAATAACAAGACAAGTCCATTGGTTTCTTGTTCATATTCTTCGCATTCTTTTATTGAACACATAAGTATTGCCATGAAAAATCATGTTTGGTTTATAATCAATTTTTTGTTTTCTCTGAACAGTAATTTCAGACTTCATGTGGACTTTGAACAATGTAATTCCTGTTTTTTGCTGAAGTCTAGTTTATAACTATTGCAATTTCAGACTTTTTCTTGCAAATTAACCTTCTGACCAGAGTATTCCCGACTATTCCCTTAACTTTGGTTTTTCACCAGTATAATTCTTAAATTTTTGCTGAAGTATGGATTATGATTATTCCAGTCTTTTTAAGTTTATTTATATTTCTTTGATTATATATATTTTTTTAATTAAAATGCATTTTTTAATTTTTTTAAATTAAAATGAATTTTTAATTTTCCCCCCGCATTTTGGCGCTCCCCCCCGCATTCCACCAAAAAATTAGGGGGGTCTGCATCCAAAGGTGCAGTAACATCCAAAAATATACCTCCAAATCAGGGGGAATATACCTCGCCACAAAAGTCCTGAACATGGCAAAATGAATTTTCTCCTCAATCACCACTGGATCGTCTAACTATACCGCTTGTATACCTCTTTTAATCAAAATGGAGAGTTCTCCATAACCATCAGTTCTTCTGATATGTCTAATATTAAAACCGGGAGTACTTACCAAACAATTTTTCTTTAGCCAAGTTTCGCAGATGACTATTATATCCTGGGGAGAATCGGCGATAAAATTATAAAGATCCGGCTTGTTTCTGCTTAAACTACAAGAGTTCCATAACATAATATTAATAATTGAACTTGTGTTATCCATTAAACTAAACTAACTAAAGTTTTTGTTGATTTCAATTTGATTTCATAAACGTCAAAATTTTGACGTAAATTTTTAGTACCAACCTAAAAATTATTGAATTAAATTGATTTTTCAAATATAAATCTTTTTAATTAATATAATTCTTATTTTATTTATATTAATTATCTTTTTATTAACAATTATTTATTATTTATTAACAATTTAATTATTTTGATGTTAATTTAAATTAATTTTTTTTTTTAAGAAACGTCAAAATTTTTTTGACATAAACGTCTAAAAACCAACCTAAAAAATGATTTCAAGAAATCAAAATCGATTATTCAAATGAATTCGTAATTTCTTTAGCATACGTTCAAACCCGTTAAATCGGCATTTTGGTTCGTATCTTAGCTATCGACCAATAACGTATCAGAACGTCCCAAAAAAAACCAAAAAGCTCCTCCCATTTCTAGGCCATCTGGGCACGTAAGGTTTTCCCGTAAGGTGTCCACATCCTTAATGGTAAATAATTGACAGATTCTTTTTTTGGGTTAAACAATCTTCCGTCATCGAAGCATTAAAAATGATCGAAAATCTCCGAAAATTAAACGTGATAAAGTGAATAGTAATAAACTGCGAGTATAGAAAGGTTTGTAATCAACACGTCATGCGAAACGATATTCAGTGTTGCTGATAAGAAAGGCGCTCTCTCCCGTTTGTTAAGCATTCGAATATAAAATACAGTCCGAGGGACGGCAATATGTTATTAGTTTCATGACGATTAATGTCGAACGTCTCCAGATAAGATGTACCTACCTGTAAAATTGTTACAACGATGGCTGTACCCTTTTGTTGTTTTATCAGTGTGTGTTTCGTTAGGCCTAACAGATGAGTTTACACCTATGTCAACAGAGGAAAGATTAAAATTAAGGTATAAACTAACTTTAATTAAGATAATCTTGATATTAAAGATTTTTTTTGTTGTAGAGAGGAAGCAAGAGATATGTTTTATCATGCTTATAACGCATACATGGAAAATGCTTTCCCAGCGGATGAACTTATGCCTTTAAGTTGTTCTGGACGATACAGGGGATTAACACCTAATCGTGGTGATATTGATGATTCCTTAGGAAAGTAAGTTATATACTAAAAGAATTTATTTGAAATTTTTTGTTTATCTTGCATAAAAACAAAAATTATTTCAACAATTTAAGCACACATTTTTGTTGCATAATGAAATTCATTCACGCATATATTTCCCACGCTACCTAAATAAAAATAGTATTAAAATATCAAATATCCAATAAATCATGTTGATATTAATTGCATTTTTCTCATTCTAGTTTTTCATTAACGTTAATTGATACCTTGGACACATTGGTGATTCTGGGCGACTTGGAAGAATTTGAGCACGCCGTTAAACTTGTTATTGATAACGTTTCGTTTGATAATGATGTTGTGGTTTCCGTTTTTGAAACGAACATTCGCATATTAGGGTAAATAAGAAAGATTCATGAAATTGTTTGTAATCCTCTAATTTTGTTGTTTTTTGTAGTGGTCTTTTATCAGCTCATATCCTCGCAGAATACCTCCAACAAAACGCCGACGTCCTTCAATGGTACAAAGGTGAACTTTTAGATATGGCCAAAGATGTTGGATATCGATTACTTCCAGCTTTTAATACTACAACAGGAATTCCATATTCTAGAGTAAATAAAAATATTATTCTTATTAACACACTTACATTTTAAACAAATAATTCTTTAAATAGAAGTTTAGTTAAACAGTATAAAGTCCATAAATTATATTTGATATGGAAAATTATTTAAAAATGAATAGATTGTTGTTTATTTTGAAAAAACTTCAATGAGGTTATAAAAAATAGATTGGAAAAAGATTAAAAACGTATAGTGGTGGATTTTATTATCACAACTTGTTACAAAAATGGTACATAGAAAGTTAAAACACTTAGTATTACATTTTAATCTAGAAAATCCTTGAATATACAGAGTGTTTAATAATATATGCGCAGAACTTCAGGATGTGACCCTCTAAAATGTACCATTTTCGAGATTATTTAATTTAATTATTTTCTACTCATAATAAGCTAAGTTTTGTGTGAGAAAAAAATTGTTTAAAGTTATATGGTGAAAATTTTGAAGGGGTATTACTCCCCAATTTCTACGCCACTGGAAAAAGTACGGTTTTGAGACGCCCATTTGAACCGTCAATGTTTTTTACACAAAAAAGGTACTGTAGGTCATGAGCTCTAAAGTTGACCGTTTTCTAGAAAAATCAACTTTTATGTTGAATAGCATTTTATGTCAATTTTTTGAAACAAAAATTTTATTTTACTAAAACGTTAGAACAAGTAAAAACTTTACTTTTTGCAGGTACAAACTAATTGTTATTTTGACAGGAGGTAGCTTTTGTTAAAAATTTAAAGCCTCTTTGTTGAAAATAAATTATACAATTTTTTACACAAACGCTGAAATGTGCGCAATGCGTTACTTTTATGGTTTGGAGAATTTTTAAAAGACATCTTTTGTATCATTTCTTAGTTTTTTTTATTTTGCAATTATGAAGTAACGTTTGCTTTTGTTACTTGTTCTAACCTTTTATTTTAAAAAATTGACCATGTTCAACATAAAAGTTGATTTTTCTCGAAAACGGTCAACTTTAGAGATGACCTTCATGTACCTTTTTTGTGTAGAAAACATTGACGGCTCAAATGGGCGTCTCAAAACCGTAGTTTTTCCAGTGGCGTAGAAGTTGAGGAGAAAAACAACCACTACTCCTTCAAAATCTTCACCAATTATGACTTAATAAAAAAAAATTCTCGCACAAAACTTAGCTTATTAGAGTAGAAAATGCTTACAAACGCTGTTTTCTGTACGATAAATGGTTCCGGAGATATTCGTAAAAAACAATTTTTTTATTAAATTTCAACACCCTGTATCTCGAAAGTTGTGAATTTTAGAGGGTAAGTTGATAGAAACTTTTTTTCAAATTTTTGGACAAGCTATCACATCCTGAAGTCCTACGCATATATTATGAAATAACCTGTATATGTAATAAATGTAGAATATATGAAGCAGCAATAGAAATATTTGCAATAAAAGTGTTAAAAGCAATTAATGTTGCTGGTAAAATTAACAGAGTAAGAATGATGATGGAAATAAAGAATAAGGCCTACCAGAACACCATTCTAAACTCCAAAGAAGACATGCACTAAAAGAATATTAGAAGAACAGACGAATAAGAAGGGTTTTTCTTCTGAAAATATTCAATCAGCAAATTACAATTAAAGTAGGCGCCCAAATAGCGCCATTGGCAGTTTTAAATGTCAAAGAAATGACAGTTTTCAAAGAACGCATTTTTTTCTTATACAACCATATCATTTGATATGTTCATCGCATAGAAGGATTTATCTTCTATCAAAATATGTAAAAAAAAACATGCATCCCATTTAAAGTAACAATGTTGGTTGCCATAGCAACGAAACAAGAACCAATGTAAACAAGCAAATATCGCCAAAAAATGCGCCACAATTAATAAAGAATTTTCTTTAATAAAGAAGAAACATTTTTCTTTAAAACCACAAATGGCGAAGTTATTGGCTATATTCCAGACATTTGACACACCTATATACAGGTCAGTAATTAGTACCTCGGCGGTCAATAGTCAAACTAAACCGTTTGAAAAACAAAAAAAAAATTATACAAAAGTTGTTTGACTCGTCACTTTCTATTACGTAAAATTATTTTCACTTATACAGGTTGTTCCATTTAAGCGTAACGGAGAGTACGTCAATTTATTTAAATGGAACATCCTGTATATTTTATCATATTATGAATACAACTAAATTTGTTTATACGATCATATATGTTACTATTTCACAACGTTCATAGTTCCAGACATATTCAATTGTTCTTCCAAAATGTGCCCATTACAGAATCTTTTTAAAAATGATGTAAAAACGACATTTTTTCCGATTTTGCCTTGAAACTACGTCAGATAATAGTCAAAGCCAGTAGGTAGATACTATCATCTACCGAATAATATCTAATATGTATTCGAAGATATTAGATACACTATACAGGATGTTTAAAAAGCTCAGTTACTTTTGATGCTTTTCAAATGGCTTTTTTTAAGTTTTTTAAATGGAACAGCCTGTATATTGTGTGTTAGTTGAATTACTCATCAAATTCCTTTTAATTAATGATAAGTATGTTATATGTCTAACTTTAATGTTTTTTTTTAGAATTTAAAGAAAAATGTGTAATAAAATGTCATTATTATACTTAAAAAAGTAACAGAATGTAATATATTCTGCCCTTTTGTTGTCACTTTTTTTTGTTTTTTCTTTTTTGATAGTCTGTCATTTGTAAATCAGTAATATTATATTAAAATACAATTAAAAAAAAACTTTAATAAATAAATAATCAAAACGTGATAAAAATACAAACAATACGATTAAATGGCAGAACAATAAATCCCTTTTTTAATTACTAAATTATTTGAAGGAAATGCAGTAGGTATTAATTTAATTAATATTTAGAAGTTGTTCAAAATGCCGCCCATTTTCTCTTCTACAAGCATTAATGCGCTGTATAAAAGACCTTGAGGTATCTCTTAACATGTGCATCTTATTTTCTCTAAAGTCGTAAATTATATAGGTAGAATAGGTAGAACAATTGCATATTTTATTACTTATATCTTTTTAAATCTCATAAAGTACCAAGTCGCATTAAAATTTGGTATATGGCAGCAGAATTATTTTACATTATAAAATATTTATCAAATAATAAAAGGAAGAACAAAAAAAACTGATAAAAATAGGCTCATAATCAATAATCAATAACTTATATTTTATTACACATTATTCTTTAAATTCTAAATATCAGGAAAAATACTAGAGTTAGATATATGACATACTTATCATTAATTACAGGTAACTTGATGGGCAATTCAATCAGCACACAATATACAGGTGTTCCAATTAAAAAACTTATGAAAAAGCCATTTGAAAAACATCAAAAGTAACTAAGTTTTATAAACACGCTGTATAGCATATTTAATATCTTTGATTACTATCATTTACCTACTGGCTTTAACTATTATCTGACATAGTTTAAAGGCAAAATTGGGAAAAATGTCGTTTCTCCATCGTTTTTAAAAACACACATTTTGGAAAAACAATTGGATATCTCAGAAACTATGAACGCTATGAGTTAGTAACATATACGGTTGTATAAACAAATTTAATTCTATTCATAATATGATAAAATATGCAGGGTGTTCCATTTAAAAAAATCTGTATACTCTCGGTTACGTCTAAATGAAACATCCGCTGTATAAGTGAAAATAATTTTACGTTTTCGAGTTATTTTGATTTTAAGCTTTTTTTGGCAAATTTCACCATGCTCTTTAAAACCCCATATCTCAGCCAACGTTCATTAAAAAAAGCTTTAAATTAGCACGATTACTCTTGAGATGCTGTCAAATAGACTGTCATTTGTTGTATCCGAGCATCTTATACAGGTGGTCAAAAATTGAACTACCATTTCTCCATATTCAATGGCGAGAAAGTTGAAAATTTTAATGGAACGACCTTTTCTTTGCCTATCAGAAAGGTAATTTAATTCTCTACAAAATATCTATAAACATTTCCATACCTATTTATTGTAGTTTCCCTCATATTGGGAAATTTATCAAAACAGGCACGGAATGCAGGTTTTTTTATTAGAAAGCCATGGAGTTTTGACAGTTTTTGGTCCACGTTTGTATTATTGTTGTCATTAGTTACATTTGATGATGGATGTAAGTCATTGAACATCATGGCAAATTATTCCAGCGCTGATATTTAAAATTTATTTTGTATTGATGGCAAATGTAATAAACTTTTGGACAGGATGTCTCGAACACTTAATGAGAGATGCCTAACAAACCTAACGCCCATCACAAAGAAAAATTCCAAAAAATTGATAAAGATTTTCTTAGTTGTCGACATATCGAGACCAAAAAAAAAGCGAAACCAATATGAAAGAAACTATAGTAAATAGGAAGAGGAATGTTTATAGATAAGTTGTAGAGAATTAAATTACCTTTCGGGTAGACTAATAAAATATGGGGCAATCCATTTAAAATTTTCGACTTTCTCCCCATTAAATATGGAGAAACGGTAATTCAGTTTTTGACCACCCTGTATAAAATACTCTGATACAACAAATGACAATCTATTTGACAGCATCTGAACAATAATCGTGCCACTTTAGAGCTTTTTTGAATGAACGTTGGCTGGGATATGGGATTTTACAGAGCATGATGAAATTTATTAAAAAAAATTTAAAATCAAAATAACTCGAAAACGAAAAACTCTGGATACCAATAACTTCTAAAATCTGAAAAGAAAACTTATTTTAAGCAATACCTCAAATGCTGATAAATGGATGTTTCTAAGAAATAACATTATTAAATCGAAGAACGTCATATGGCTTAATATTAATCTCGGATTGTAATGAAATTAATAAATTCTGGATTATCTCTTCTCAACACAACTTTCAGTTAGACGAGTCTTTGCTAGAGTATTATAAAACTCACTTCAGAGATGGTATTGGAACTTTTTCCTTTACTGAGGTAGTGTTATCGAAACGGCTATTTCAAAAATAAAAGCGAGTTGACTTCAAATTTCTTCGCATCTGTTGTCCCTATATTGTACCGGAGATCCGCCACATTATCAATGTTTTTCTGCACTGTCCCACAGTGCTAATAAATGATTTATTATTATTAATTATGAAAGAGAGGAATTGGTGATCTCATCTATGTAGGTTAATCGCTATCATTCTTCTGTCAACATAATCTTGAGCTTAATATCGCATGCAAAGTTATCTCAAATATATAGTTAATCATTTGGTAAATGAAATAAGTAATGGTAATTTGAGAGTATTGTTGCCATAATACTATTAGAAGGGAGACTTTGTATAGAAAACTTCTGGAAATGTTTTGATCAAAACAGATTCTTACAGAATTTCAAAGCGACTTTTATATAAGAAAGCTTACAGATATACTGTTTGTACCAAAACTTGACGTGCAAGTATAAATTAGTTTATTGCTATTATTACGACTGTAAGAGAAAGTAAAACTACATAATTACTAAAGAAAAATTAAAAAAATCTAAATTTGTTGTCTAGTGTAATTAAAGATCCTTTTGATGTTTTGAATATTATCTGATATTATAAAAAGTCTAAAATTTGATACATAAATAAAAATTTAATTATGTACTATTTTTTTTTCTTTTACTTTTAGATTAATTTAAAGTATGGTATAAAAGGAGATAGACTTGAAACTTCCCGTGAAACTTGCACAGCTTGTGCAGGTTCGATAATCTTAGAAATGGCAGCTCTTTCACGATTAACAGGAGAACCAATTTTCGAAGAAAAAGCCCATCGGGCGATGGATGAATTATGGAAGATGCGACATAGAAGCTCCGATTTAATGGGAACAGTTCTAAACGTACACTCAGGTGATTGGATTCGAAGGGATTCAGGCGTTGGGGCCGGAATCGACTCATACTACGAGTACTGTTTGAAAGCTTACATTTTACTTGGCGATGATCGTTATTTAAACCGTTTCAATCGCCATTATAACGCCGTTATGAAATACATTTCTCAAGGTCCAATGTTATTAGACGTACATATGCATCGACCACATACGAATTCAAGAAATTACATGGATGCCTTATTAGCATTTTGGCCCGGATTGCAAGTTTTAAAGGGCGACATAAAACCGGCGGTTGAAACCCACGAGATGTTATACCAAGTGATGCAGCGGCATAAATTTATTCCGGAAGCGTTTACGACTGATTTTCAAGTACACTGGGGTAATCATCCGTTAAGACCCGAATTTTTAGAGTCAACATACTTTTTGTACACAGCAACAAACGATCCTTATTACCTCGAAGTTGGTCGAAACGTTTTAAAAAGTTTACAAAAATACGCTCGAGTTCCTTGTGGTTACGCCGCTGTGAACGATGTTCGTACAGGAAGGCAAGAAGATCGTATGGATTCGTTTGTATTGGCCGAAACGTTAAAATATCTATATTTGTTATTCGCCGATCGGGAGGATTTAATTTTGAATTTGGACGAGTTTATTTTTACGACTGAGGGGCACTTGTTACCGTTGAGTTTATCTAGTTATAAAAATAATACTCTAATCGAAGAGGAAACTGAAGATTATTATTACGAATACGCTAGAATATGCCCGAATTCTTTGACGTTATTCCCCGAATCGGTGAGGAAACCTTTAAGGAATATGGTCGATGGGATGTGTCCTAGAAGAATTGGGAAACGAAGACTTACGGCTGCCGAATTTAGTGCTTCTAATATGAATCATTTGAAGGTGATTAAAGATATGGGGATTAGTATTATTGCGTTAAATGATGGAAGGGTGCAGTTATTACATACTTTTTCAGCGGTAAGTTAAATCACCATTTTTTTTTATTAAAAATTTAAAAAATAATTAAAGCATAAGGGTTTATTTGATCCATTATCGACCAGTTTTTGATAATTAAAATAAATAATCAAACTGCACTTTTTACTGGTTTTAGATTTATTAATTACTTTGTAATTAACTTAATCATCTTCAGAGACGCAACAAAGAATTAAATTATAACGGTTTTAAACGTGTGGTAATTAATGAATATAACCAATTCGATTTGAAAAAGAACTAAAAATACTTACTGTCAAAATTATTATGAAGAAACAATTAAAAATCGGGTTGTAAAATTGAAAAGAAAGAGACTTACAGGTTGTACCTCTATTGCGACCTCTGTGTTCGAACTAAAGTTGTTTTAATAATTTAAAATTTAAAAAATCAAATCCAAATCAACCAAATTTTATGTTGATATCAATTGTATAGATAAATTAACCTTATAAGTTATAAGAAGTGTTTATCTTTGTGTTTTATTTCCATTGAATAAATTACGATGTCAATGAGTTACAAAACGAAACTTAAATAATTTCAAAAAATGGGAAAAAAATAGGAAAAAGGGGATTTTTGGCCGTAAGGATCCCAAATAGTGCGAAATTGTATATATGTACCATTTACACAAAGTCCTGTGCAATTTGGGAGGTTAAAGTTAATGGGTTTATCAAAGGTTTATAGAGTGGAGTCTTAAATTTGTATATCTGGTCATTTAGACATTCGATATTTTGATTTTTGGTTCGACATTTATTAATCTCATACATTTCTAATAGATTGAGCTTAAAACCTTTATTCTGCTTATGTAGCAGTGTAAAATTTTTATTAATGTCAAATTCGTGGTTATGGATAATCATATGTCTACCAAAGTTGGATTTTTGGTTATTTTTTTTTTTAAATAATTCGTAATTTTCATTTGGCTTAAAGTGGACAACCGCTCTTTGTCGAAAAAAATCTTCTATTAAATGTAAAGAATTATTAATATTATCAGGAACATTCTCTCTTGATAATAAAAATTTTTCAAGCTTTCTAAGAGAGGAATAACCTTCATCTAATGTAGGCACAGCGATAAGTATTTCATTTTTAAGATTAACATCACCCTCATCTGACTCTGAAACAATAAGAACATTAGGTTTGTTTTGGTTCAAGAGTCTGTAGTTTCTGAACCAGAATCTATGTGGTTTGATTCTGTAGGTAAAATTACTTACAGAGCGAATTCGAATATTTTATTCTTTGGTAAATTCGACTTAGAGAGATAAAAACACATTTGAAACTTAGTCAAACGCTTAAGCTTACGAAAATTATTCGACTTAGAGGATAATTCGAGATATAGAAGTTCAAGTTAGGGGAATTTCACTGTATGTCGCACCGCAGATGCCACACTCTAATCTATATACACCATTCTGTTCAAGTGTTTGTAATTTATCTTTTGCATTAATTACAATCTTTCCCAAGGTATTATTGTTACTAAATTAAATGTTGACGTTATATTTAAGAAAAGTTTTGCGAATAGAAAAACTAACGTTGCCCGGGTAATTTATTGAGCGATAGATTTTAGTTATGTTTGTTTGTTGTAAGCTTGTTGATATAGTAGACGCCACGAGAGCTGGCAGTAAATCATCGTTTTCCGCTCTTATAAATGCCATACGTAGTTCACAAACCGCTAGAGAGTAAGATGTGTTAGAAAGAGATAGCATTAGTTTAATATGTCTGCTGTACAATTAAAATGGCCACGTCGTAAAAGTGCGTCTGTTCTTCTAAGGGATGTAACTCTATAATTATAACNTACGAATTTTTAACATTTTCTTTTATAATTCGAGAATGGATGGCGATATCGAGATGCGGTTTTCACTAATATTTAGCAAATTTTATGGTGACTAAGGATCTGTGAAGTAAATAGTACCGTTCCATCTAACTTTTTTTCAAAAATCACAGAAATAGGTCATCGCTGCAGATAACGCCCTCTAGCTTATTTGTTTTAAACCAAACGGTCTTACTGAAATGCTCATAAACGGCGGCATAAAATGCTCTTTCAAACGAGACAAAAAATATTCAAATTGGTTGAATGGTTCAGGAGATACTAAAAAGTAAACATTTGAAAACGCGTTGGCTTCCCCCTCCCTTATTATGACAGATATGAGAAATATTGCAAAACAAAAGCGATGCGGTATTATCCAAGCTATTAAATGATGTTGTCAAAGTTATACCTCATCGTCTAAATTTCTGAGATAGTGGGAATTTTATGTTTCTCTATGGCAGTTACGCCCCCTAGCGGTCAAATTACGAACTTCAAAATAATTTCCAGCTATTTCTCTTGCCCACTTTGCCTATAAGGATTTTTTTCCCAAATCTCTAGGCTTTACCGTTGTTGAGATACAGCCGCTCCGTACCCTTAACGGGACACCCTGTATATGTACCATTTACACAAAGTCCTCTGCAATTTGGGAGGTTAAAGTTAATGGGTTTATCAAAGATTTATAGAGTGGAGTCTTAAATATGTATATCTGGTCATTTAGACATTCGACAACCGCTCTTTGTCGAAAAAATCTTCTATTAAATGTAAAGAATTATGAATATTATCTGGAACATTCTCTCTTGATAATACAAAGGTTTCAAGTTTTCTAGGAGAGAAATAAGCTTCATCAAATGTAGGCACAGCGATAAGTATTTCATCATTAGGTTTCTTTTCGTTCAAGAGTCTGTAGTTTCTGAGCCAGAATCTATGTGGTTTGATTCTGTAGGTAAAATTACTTACAGAGCGGATTCGAATATTTTATTCTTTGGTAAACTCGACTTATAGAAGAAAAAATTGAAGAAATTCCATAGTAGTTCTGTTCGAGTTAGGGAAATTCGACTTAGAGAGATAAAAACACATTTGAAATCTAGTCAAACGCTTGAGCTTACGACAATTATTCGAGATATAGAAGTTCGAGTTAGGGGAATTTCACTGTATGTAGCACCGCAGGTGTCACACTCTAATCTATATACACCATTCTGATCAAGTGAATAAAAGCCCAAAAATTTTCCAGACGATTTTCCGGAAGCAATTGCACGTCTTAATCATGACCTTTCCAATATTTTGGATTGGTCCAAACGTTATGGCCTTAAATTAAATACTGCTAAAACTCAAGCAATTGCGTTTGGCAGTCGACCTTTACTGGCAAAGCTGAATGATTTTTCATCCATTCACTTAATGGTTGACGGAGACATTATTCAGCTGTCAGACACGGTTAGAAACCTTGGGGTGGTTATGGATTCTACAATGTCCTGGAAACCTCAAATTCAATCCGTCTGCAGAAAGGTCTATCATTGTTTCCACTCACTGAAAAGTCTCCGTTGCTTCCTTCCTCCCATGATCCGTCGTAATCTTTGTTTTTCCCTGATTTTCCCCCATATTGATTATGCTGACACGGCATATCCTGATCTTTCGGTAACACTACGAAACAAACTGCAAAGACTTCAAAACAACTGCATACGGTATATCTTTGATCTCGAGAGATCTCAACACATAACCCCATACCGTAATTATTTGCAGATATTAAGCTGTCAGAACCGTAGATCGTTTCGTATATTAACTATGTTATATACTGTTCTTCACAATCAAACCCCAAGGTATCTGTATTGTATATTTCAACGCTTGTCGTCGCATGGTTTACCCACTAGATCTCAGTTAGATTCTGTGCTTATGTTCCCGACCCATAGTACCGAGATTTACCATAAATCGTTTGCTGTGCAGGCAGTAACCCTTTGGAATAGTCTGCCTACTGAGATCCGTAATATTCCTCACCTTGTAACATTTAAAAACCACCTAAAACGTCATTTATTGGCTCTCCAAGTATCTTCCTGAGAACTTTTTTTTCTCCCTTTTCTTCTCTTCTTCTACTTTTCTTCTCTTCTCTTCTTCTTTTATTCCAGCAACTATCATTATGCACCGTTTTTAGTGACCATAAGTTTAGCATAGCAGCTTGCCGTTTATTCATTGTTTTTCTTATATAACTTAGTATACTGCTGATTGATTGGGTTGTTTGGAAGATATCGCTTACGCGATAAATCGACCCTTTTGCCTGTATTTATGCATTAAGTTAAATGTGTACATTTTCTTTAATTTGTATTTTTTGTTTCTTATTATGGCAATAAATTTATTTATTATTATTATAAAAAAGCTGCAGCTGGGTTTTCTGGTGGTAAGAATCTTTGGGAATGACTGAATCCGTCTGATTGTGAGTCGGTTTTCTGTAAATGTCAAAGGCAATTAAGGCGTTGTTAGTTAAGGTGAGATCTAGAAAATTTAATTTGCCATCTTTTTCAATTTCTATTGTGAAGTTAATATTGTTATGCAAACTATTAATGTAAGCATGGAAAGTATGAATTGAGTCTAAGTCTTTATTATTCCAGATAATTAAGTAAGATATTAGAGTTATTGATATTTAAAATTTCTTTTTCCAAGTTATTGAGGAAAATATCTGATAGCAACCCACTAAGTGGTGAGCCCATAGGTAAACCTTTTTTATATTCATAAATTTTACATTCAAACTGACAAAAATTTTGTTCTGTAAAAAATTGTAAATATGTTCAGTATTTATATCATCGAATTTCATCTTTAAATAACTCTTTTACTAGTAGTAATGTTTCTATAATTGGTATGTTGGTGTATAAATTAGTTATGTCGAATGATAAAATAGTGTAATCTACTGGTAATGTGGTGTTCTTTATTGTATTGATGATTTCGTTTCTGTTTTTTATGATGTATTCTGGTTTGAATTGTATGTCATTTTTAAATATTTGTAGTAAAAATTTGGATATTTTATATGTACTTGAATCCAATGAAGATATTATGGGTCTAATAGGTAGGTTTTGTTTATGTAACTTAACGAGTGAGTATGCTAATGGTATTTTAGGGTTCATAGGAATAAGATTGTATATTGTAATATTTTGTTCTTTAAGGAAATATTGTGATGTCTTTATCAATTTCTTTACCTTGTTGTGAAATGAGG